ACTCACATGTAAGTAGCTGTGTCCTCTCACATTTAAGTAGCTGTGTTCTCTCACATGTAAGTAGCTGTGTTCTCTCACATGTAAGTAGCTGTGTCGTCTCACATGTATGTAGCTGTGTCCTCTCACATGTATGTAGCTGTGTCCTCTTACATGAAAGTAGCTGTGATCATTCACATGTATGTAGCTGTGTCCTCTTACATGAAAGTAGCTGTGATCATTCACATGTATGTAGCTGTGTCCTCTTACATGTAAGTAGCTGTGTTCACTCACATGTAGGTAGCTGTGTCCTCTCACATGTAAGTAGCTGTGATCTCTCACATGTAAGTAGCTGCGTTCACTCACATGTAAGTAGCTGTGTCCTCTCACAAGTACGTAGCTGTGTTCTCTCACATGTAAGTAGCTGTGTTTACTCACATGTAAGTAGCTGTGTCCTCTCACATGTATGTAGCTGTGTCCTCTTACATGAAAGTAGCTGTGATCATTCACATGTATGTAGCTGTGTCCTCTTACATGAAAGTAGCTGTGATCATTCACATGTATGTAGCTGTGTCCTCTTACATGTAAGTAGCTGTGATCTCTCACATGTAAGTAGCTGTGTTCGCTCACATGTAAGTAGCTGTGTCCTCTCACATTTAATTAGCTGTGTTCTCTCACATGTAAGTAACTGTGTCGTCTCACATGTATGTAGCTGTGTCCTCTCACATGTAAGTAGCTGTGATCTCTCACATGTAAGTAGCTGCGTTCACTCACATGTAAGTAGCTGTGTCCTCTCACATGTAAGTAGCTGTGTTCTCTCACATGAAAGTAGCTGTGTCTTCTCACATGTAAGTAGCTGTGTTTTTTCACATGTAAGTAGCTGTGTTCTCTCACATGAAAGTAGCTGTGTCTTCTCACATGTAAGTAGCTGTGTCCTCTCACATGTAAGTAGCTGTGTCGTCTCACATGTAAGTAGCTGTGTTCTCTCACATGTAAGTAGCTGTGTTCTCTCACATGTAAGTTGTTCCAGGGTATTCTATGTCCTCTCTAAAGTTGTCTTGTGGCTAGCCAGTTGTCTGTCAACTTACATGTTCTTTGTCCCCACAAATAAATGAGGATTTTGTCTTAATTTTCATTTGGCCAAAGAGAGAAAATACCAGTTCCTTTTTCATAGTTTGAAATATGACTAAAGGAAAGCAATTCCTATACATTTGTACAACTAAAGATTTTGAAAGGTGCCAAGAGATACATGTATGACACATATAAATTCCATCTGCTTATTGTATAAGTGGGTAATTCATTTTCTCCTTTAACAACATCCCAGAAATAATTTGGAAAGTTTAGATAAGACACATATAATACAAGTGTATAAATTCTTCTTAGTATATTTCTGTATTTGTCATACATTTTAATAGATGAATGCATCAGGATGAGGTTTAAGTATGTTGGTTTGGCATAGGATGGTAATATACAGTTCTGCCTCTGCAGTGCTCTCATTCAAGGATGTTTCCCCACGATTCTTGTTTAATGTTAAGCTTTGTTTGGTACACTTAGGATTGGTTGTTGATGAATGTCCACTACTAAAAACACCACCCAAGGAGATCCGAGACAGAGGCTTTAAGACAATGATTGGTTATCTGTCTCGCTTATTGAGGGGGTCGGTGGACTGTAAAAGAACAAAGCTGATGCTGGTGGGGTTAGGAGGCGCTGGTAAAACAAGGTAAACATGCTCCAAGCTACAGAGAGAGGTATATGTATTATCTGTCTGTGATATCCTGTTAAAGTCACCTGTCATGCCTATCAACTACCATACAGGATTATAACATCATTCACCTCACTTAGGTAGTGTAGTGGTAGGACGCCCGGCTCGCAACCGAAGGGTTGCGGGTTCATGTCACGACACTGTGTTGTATCTTTGAGCAAGATACTTTACTCCACTTGTTCCAGTCTACTCAGCTGTAAATAAGTACGTGGTTGGGCAGTGCTAGAATTGTTGAATGCTAGCTTTGAGCGCCAAAATGGCAGCACCGGCTGTATGCTCCCCAGGGGGTTGAGAAAGATGTTAGCTAGTTGCAATGGTTCTTTAACCATGGATAATAATTTGTGTACTGCTTTGAGACCACCTATAAACTAGATTGTGATAAAGCGGTATATAAGAACCTCGAAATATTATGACTTGATACAATGTTTTTCACTGACCTCTAATGCGTCTATCCACTCATCTCATTGACAATGTAATTAGGTCACCTGAGACAAAGTCTCAAGTGACCTATTGCGATCGCCTTTTGTCCNTCCGTTTCTCTCCAGACCTCTTATTTCCTTGTTGGGAGGTGCTGCATTTTTAGCTCATTTGGCCAAAGTTGTGAGGCATTCATCGTCCATTTGTTCGCTGCCAACTTATCACATTTTTTACTTTTTTTTAAGATGCCTATAATCATCACATTTAGCATAGAGCTTGCTAGGATAAATTGCTATCAACTTTGTTCAAATGAATGGACTTGACCGACTTTCAAAATCACAGAGTCAGAATTTAAAAAAAAATAGAATAACATCTTCCAAAAGAACTTTTATGCTATTTATGCTATAATGATACTATTCTGATTAAAGTTTGAGATTTAACATGGATTTCAAAGCAGTTACATTGATATAACAATTACAGCTTGGTGAGAGCACTGACGTCAACTGATCAACGGTCAACTTTAACAGGAGCAGATGCCATAACAGATGGTTAGTGTTACACAGAATATCAGGGAAAAGGGTCTTTTTACACTGCTAAGTCATTTCTCATTCATCAATGTGGAAAGTTCATGTTTCTGAAACCTGAAACGATAGAATTCCTTTACAATCAGAGTAAACGGCCTTGTTGATCTTGACATCAGTAATTACTGTAAAATTCTTTTTTTTTATATTCACATAATAAATTTGTTTTACATTTTTAAGATAATTAAGATTAAAGTTTTTGGACGACAAAATTGAACAAAGATCCTTTCAGAAACTGTTGATACTGGTGCTATGAAGAAGTTGATTGGAAATACATTTTATTTAATTTTAAAATGATTTCAAGTCTGAGGTCTTTTGAATAAATATTTTAAGACTTAGTGATTAACAGTATACCAGATGTAGAGATTTTCCTGTCCAAACTACTTAGTCATCATTAATGTTTTTTATCCTACATTTAAAAGAAATTAAGCTTAGAACACTCCTTTGATGTTAATGTGTTAAACCTGTATGTCAGTCTGGTGGCCAAGGAACATTTTACATAGAACAAAACAACATTTAAGTGGAATTCAGCTGAAAATCATCTTAATCTTTACATCGATTGATTTACTTGTGTTCAGGTATCGACATTTGTACCTGGGATGTAGATCACCAAGGAGACAAGATATCTTACAGCGTGTGGGACTTTGCTGGTCAGACTGTCTACTACAACACTCATCAGGTAATGGAAGTCACGGTCAAATAAGGGGGACATCTCATAAGGTACTTCAGCACTCAACAGGTAATGGAAGTCATAGTCAAACAAGGGGAACATCTCATAAGGTACTACATCACTCATCAGATAATGGAAGTCACAGTCAAATAAAGGGACCATCTCATAAGGTACTTCATCACTCATCAGATAATGGAAGTCATAGTCAAATAAGGGGAACATCTCATAAGGTACTTCATTACTCATCAGATAATGGAAGTCATAGTCAAATAAGGGGAACATCTTTAAGGTACTTCAGCACTCATCAGATAATGGAAGTTATAGTCAAATAAGGGGAACATCTCATAAGGTACTTCAGCACTCATCAGATGATGGAAGTCATAGTTAAACAAGGGGAACATCTCATAAGGTACTGAAGAACACTGATACATCTTATTTTAATGATGATGAATACTACAGAAGCTGCTGATTTACTTTTGTAACATTGCAGTTTTTCCTGTCAGACCGTGCAGTGTATCTGTTGCTATGGAACACAAGACTTGGACATGAGCATGCTGGTCTAAAGTTCTGGCTCAACTCTATCAGAGTACACGCCCCTAAAGCCCCAATCTTTGTGGTGGGCACCCACAGTGACCAGGTAAGTTGAAGACTCATAGCCATCACAGTATATACTCCCAAGGTCACCATCCTTTTAGTGGCTCCCATAGTGACAAGGTTAGGGAACACTGTCCATCACAGTGCATACCTTTAAGCCTATTATTGTAATTTTATTTACATTCTTTCAAGGTGTTGAGTATTCAAATCACGCCTAACAAAGTGTTTTTGAATTTTTAGGGTCCCACATCAAAGCTACGAGTCCCTATAATATCAGAATTCCAAAAGTAAATGTCAAGGTCACTGTTACTAAAAAAACACCAAAAAAAACAAGGGATATACTGTAATGCCCTTTCTGAACTGCTAGTGTTGATTTAGGTAGAAAATGATATTTAGTGGATATTCTATGTGAATGACAATATCACAGTGATCCCTGATCCTAAAATCCAAGATGGCTCAAATTCTGTCATGCATGGTACATCTGAGCGGCTAAAACATACACGGTTATAAGCTTTGTTCTATTGGTATAGTTTTGTTCGCACTTGGTGGTAATTGGTACCTACATGGGAAATAAGGACTTATTGTCTGGACTCCATATTCTAAGATGGCTGCCCTTGCTTCTGATTGGCTGAGACACTTTGGGTGAAACTTGCTGTTTGTCTGATTTTGTTCATTCTAACTAGTAGATGGTATCTTTAGGATTACATGTGTGTAACATCTTATAACCTATCATCCATAATCCAAGATGTTTGCTGTGGCTTCTGATTGGTCATTATGAGTGATAAGCTCTTTAAGGTCATAGGAGTGTATTGATAAACGGAAATAGGAAGTGCATCCCTAGTTGAAAATCCAATGTAGGGAGACAGTATCACAATTTCCGCATATTCTGATGTTTAATATTAAACTGATAAATATTGCATGTTTATTATTGACAGAACAGTGTGTTCTCTCAATATTAAAGTATTTCAAAGCAATCCAGGCATTAATTCAGNTCGAGGCATTAATTCAGTTTTTTTTTTTTATCAATGAGTCCCATATGTCCATTTTTCTGTACTTCAGGAACCCGGCTACCTATTTCACTACTGTGAAGTTTTTCAAGAACGATAACTCTTTACATGCAATTACTATATGTACATGGTTTTATTATAAAATGTCAATTTTTAAACGTTTATAGATAATTAATTTTACACAATTTCAGCTTTTATTAATTTGATATACATTAATGCAATACTAATCTATGTCACTATCATTTTTTTTGACATTATTTTGCCTAAAATTGTGTCTTTCATTTTTTTTTCAAAACTCACTCCTTTTTACATGAATTTTCATTTCAAATCCTTAAAATTCTGACAACCTATATTTTTTTTTGTGGCAGAAAATTTTCTTTACTTCAACGCAATATAACTACAAAATTGGAAGAAATCCTACTGAGAAATGTTGACACAATCCTATTACCTTAAGGGGTCGAGTCCAAGATAATTAGATATGAATATAACCCTACTGTTTAGATGTCTGGTTTATTGAATGGCTGTTGTTGTTTACAGATGACCAAGATGGAGTTACCTGTTGATGACATGCGCCAAAAATACCACCAAATTGTTGGCTTCCATTTTGTCAGCTCCAAGACAGGTGATGTGAGTATCTCAACACTAAACCATACATGTGAATAAAAGTTACCATTGTTTAATAAACCTTATCCAGAATTAGTTTGAATAAGTATTTGAACCTCATCCAGGAAAAACATATTTTCTTTTGAATTAAGGAATTTAGAAAATTTCAATTTAATAAAAATCTCAACACCTATTCGAAATTGCCAAAAGTTTTTCTTATGTTTAAATATTGTCACTGTAATGATTCATTGTAGGGCATACCTAACCTCCAGGAGGCTTTGTTCAAAGTGACCATCCAGCAGGAATACATGGGAGAAAAGATTCCTCACGCTNTCCCCATGTATAACTCAAGTAAGGCCACATCCTCTGTGTGTAACTCAAGTAACTGTAAGGCTACCTTCCTTATGTCTATGTCCAAAGTTAGCCCACATCCCCAATGTGTGACCCTTATAAGGCCCCTCCCACTTTGTATGACCCCAGTAAGTCCACTTCCCATATGTATGACCTGAGTTAAGCCACATCTCCTATTGTGACCCCAGTAAGACAATGTCCCCTTTGTCCCACTTTGTCCTTATTCCCCGTGTCTGGCTATATAATCAGGTCATACTTCTATCCTTTATACCTGATATATCTGATAAGTTCAATACTATTGACTGTTTATCAGGATATCAATATTTTTTGTTCTGGATGATAAAAAAATGAAAATAAGTGAGGATACTTATGTATTATATAGTATTAATGAAACAATGTTATTTGTATTAACAGAGAGAGAACCAAAGACAAAGTGAATGTAATGGTGTATCAAAGTGTGGAGAAGAAAGCCTCGGAGGCTGGCATTGTTGATCCTACAGAGGTATGTAAATATCCAACGTCATTTACTCAAAAAAAAATGTGACAAAAGTTTATTAACTTATATTAATCTCTCTTGCTGCCATGATGGAAGAGTGCAGATGATCTATATGTTGCTCACTTTACTGAAGGCCAAGTGAGCTGATAACAGGGCGTAGATATTAAACATTAAACCCCTACTGGTACTAACGGAGGAAACTATGGGTTTGTATTCTGTGCATGATTAAGTCAGTCTTGCACTGTTACCAACAATCATCAGATTTTGTATGCAAGCACCTCCTGATATATAGCTAGCTGTTGCATTATGAAACTGGGTATATACATGCCCCACTATATACAAATGTGTTCCCCATTGTTCATTGTACATAACTTTGTCTGGGACTTAATCTTATATGTCATTGGTACATAATATATCCTTGTGTTTCTTCTATTTTATGTAAGGACATTATACACTGGGTATGTGGCTACACCATAAGAAGTTGAGAACAGTAACATTATGACTTGTATTTGACCTTTGACCTTTATCTGAAGTACTGAAATACAAATTTCCAGAGCATATCTTTAATTGGCTGGTGTTTCGTGTCCACAGTGTATGTACTTCAGTCTTGGTTTGTTGAGTATTATAAGAGGGTGCACTGGGGTACATACCGAAAATTGGAGCCAAACAAACTCTATTTTACTTTTGACCTTGACCTCAAGCAATGAGATACTTGTATCTGGGTCATACATCACCCAAAGATTCATGTGGGGAGAATATGGTCTCTGCAGCTTCTTTTCTGCTTCATACAAAAACATATGGGGTGCAAAGTTATCTATAAAGCCCTTAGGTGGAACTGTTGTGGACTTAACTTGTTCATTTGAAAAACATATTATATGGCATATACCTGGATAAGAAAACAAAAACAAAACAAAAAACAGGTTGGCTATTGTTGCTCTTGGACCTATGGTTATATTCCAGTCTCTATCTTTACTTCATGAATGCATTTGGTTTTACTAGATAGCACAAGCAATCCAGTTCCTGCATGATCTTGGGTCGGTGCAATACTTCCCAACGGAGCACCTGAAAGGACATGTAGTGATAAACCCTCAGTGGATTGTAGATGTCATGGCCTGTGTGGTGTCCATCAAACAGGAAGGGATCACGGTGTGTGTGTACGTCTTATAAATAATCTAGGTGTTTTTGATTGTTGATCAAGACATCCTGAATGTTTTTCAGTCACCTGGTCTATTGACTGTTACTATTACTGACATGTTGAACTCTTGGACTGCTGATGATGTGTTAAGTATATGGTGTGTCTTACAGCCAACTTGATGTATTACATCTGTTGTTACAGGATGGGCGTCTGATGCACTCAGATCTTGATGCTGTGTGGTCCGAGTACCATACGATGGCCTCCTGGCTACTCCGGCTTACAGAGGAGTTTGACCTCACTTTTCAACTAGAAGGGGAGAGTTGTAACATTGTACCCTGCCTACTCCCAGAGAAATGGCCTGATGTAAGCTCATGTCACTGTACCGTATTTAACCACAATTGAGCCCCCCCCCCATTTAATCAGGATGACTGACCTTACCTCCAAGATATAAAATGGCTGGTTAAGATATGTTGTAGTGTTAAACAGCTGTATTGTTTTCACAATTCAACTAAGTATTTTAGTACTGATATTACATGATGTTACTTTTTTCTCCTTCATTATTAATGTATCACCTCAGTTTGAGTGGCCTGATATCATCAAGGATGAAGGGATATATGAAATGAAGCTGGTCTACAAGTTTGATTACCTGCCTTCAGGCTTGTTTAACAGGGCACAGGTGAGTCATACAGATACTTCAATCATGTGTGGTTGTCAATCATTGATTTAAACATCTGGTACTGGGAGATTATAATTGTCGATGTGTCACTCTATCTGTAGATATTATTTCGGCCACTCTGCTATTGAGATATGGCTCTAGAATTACTAATAATTAAACCTTGTACTGTCCACTAGACCTGAAAACAATTTGCACACATTTTACCTATCAAATTAATCCTGTGTGTGTAACTGTCATGTTATTAGCTATGACCCCAGATTTACTAAGGATTTTATTGATAAACTTCCAGATATCTGTATCATATGAAAAGATATTGTTTCAACGCAAAATAGAAATTTTAACAAGACTTGTGGTTTGAACTAAAAAGATTCAGTCCCTGAAGTCGTGTTATAGAATTTTCAGATACCGTATTGTTCTCCTGCCAACTAAAGTCCATTAAACCCAGGTGGTGTATATAATAGTATTAAAATTATATGAACACTCTTTTACAACAACCAACCCGAAATAAATACATTTTCAAGATATTTGTTAACATATTTTCTAGATATTTGTTGATTTGCTTTCTAGATAGTTGTGAATATATATTCAAGACCTTGAAAACCTAAACCGTTTTATATGTTTAATTTAGGTGAGGCTTCATGGCTACTCGGAAGACTCTATGATTTGGAAGAGAGGCTCCTTCATAGAGAAAAATGGCCAGTTAGCATTGATACAACAGGATGGGTGAGTTGTGATATATTTTAGTGGTGATGTCGTACACCGCATTAATGTCATGTAGGTAATGCAATGAGATTTCTGAATGAGATATGTTTAACTGGTAATGTCAGTGAAAGATAATTAAGTCCCTAAAACAAAATGTATGGACTTATTGTTTTACTCCGTTGCTTATTCCTATTTCTTCTACGTTCTTTCCCTGCAAGGTTTCCACCACTTTTTCTTAAAAGTATTGGGCGGAATTGCCCCATTACAATCAGTTTATTTATAATGTAGTGATATCCATTAGTGAAAATGTTTTGCTTGTAATGTAAATAAGACATTATGTAAATGATACAAATATTGGCTACAGCTACTACAATAGTCACTATAGAAGTAAGAGTAGACCACAGCCACTACAGGATGAAACCAGATGAAAAGAGACATCTAGGTGATACTGATGTGTTATGAAGCTATGACATCTCAGTCAAAAACAGGCTCCTTCACTTTGTCATTGCATCCATCTGTGTGTGCATCTGTCTATGTGTCTGTCTGTGCATCTGTCTATGTGTCTGTCTGTGCATCTGTCTATGTGTCTGTCTGTGCATCTGTCCATGTGTCTGTCTGTGCATCTGTCCATGTGTCTGTCTGTGCATCTGTCCATCCATCTGTGTGTGCATCTGTCTATGTGTCTGTCTTTGCGCTTGCTCATGTGTCTATCCATATTCAAAAGTTTGTGTACTTGATATGTTTTAAACCGCTGAACTTAGCAGTCATTGGTCAAAGTTAAAGGGTCAAAGGTCATGGCTAAAGATCACACTTTACCACTTTTAAAGTGAAAGGCACGTGTACAAAATATATCTCATAAACCCCCAAACGAATTCAGTTTATATTTATACCATAGGATGGTAACTTTGAGTTCTACACTTGATTAGAATTGGATGGTCATCAGTCAAGGTTAAAGGGTCAAAGGTCATTGGCAAAGTGTCCATCTGTATACATGCACTTAACTCCTGAACACATTTAGTTGATATCTACACCATCACATGTCACAGGTTTCAGTTATGCTAAAACTTTTAACTTTTCTTCCTCTGAATTATATAATAGCCAATAGGCCTATGATGATGATATCTGAGCAGTAGCATAGTGGGACGTAGATGTACATTACTTGCTTTGTGTTTCATTGTTCATACAGACATGTGTAATTTCATTCCAGAGAATCAGAGCTGAGTGTGAGGGTACAAGGTCCAAACCCCAGTAACATGCTCTTTTTCATCCATGAGGTATTTGAAGGTTTGATCAACGAGTCGTTCCAAGGAGTCACCTATGACTACGAGATACCGTGCCCCGACTGTACCAAACATGTAGGTATAACTACATGTCTATCCTGTTTGTCTGGCACACTCATGCTTCTTGTAATTATTTAACGGTATGCATATTGAACAGAATTTCACAATTATTAGTTGTTGCTAGTGGAGACAAACTATAACATCACAGCAGAGAAAAAGACTTGGAGAAATGTGACATTAATGTCCTGTGTGTTTACAGTACCAGAAGGACCCACACATGTTTAAGGCGTCCAGTATACGTCGAGCCCTGGAGCTGAGGGCGCCCTTCCTGCAGTGCCAGAAACAGTTTCACACGGCGTCAATACTGAGCCTTCAGGCCATTCTCGCCCCAGACACTAACAGTGACTATGAAGTACACCTCGACCAGGACGTCAATAGTCTGCTACAGATGCAGAAGGAGATGGCCACAGGTGAGTGTGTCTCTGTCTTACATCATCACCACACTTTCCATTTATGGTGATTGCTATTAGGTGTCAAGTTTGTTGTTGCTAATATTTAACAGTCTCAAAATTTGCAAAGTGTTTTATATAACTTTGAAAATCAACAAATGGAAGATGCCCCATATACAATAATGTACCCATTACCCATTTTATCTAGTAAATAAGAGAAGTTCAGCTCCAATATCTGACTTATGTCATTAGACGGTAGGAAACTTAGAGCTTAGGAAGAGAAAAAACAAAAAAAAAAAACATATATTGAGACCTGTACTTACACAAGTCTTTAAAGTTTTGATGTTTGGAATATTCTGTCTGTTACCGCCGGTGAATTGTTCACTACCGGTAGCACTGGCCTTGCAGGTCTAAGGGTGTTTTTGGGATATCATTATAGGTGGAATTTCCCTATCCTACAACCCTGGACATGGAAGAGTCTTATAGTATACAATACATGTCACTACACACTGACCTAAAATACATGTAGTCATTATGCAATATCCAATAGTGAGTATATGACAATTGTGGGAGGGGGCAAAAACCACCCCACCCCTTAGATACATCTAGTAATTATATAATATCCAGAAGTGAGTATATGACTATTGTGGGAGGGGGGCAAAAACTGCCCCACCCCTTAGATACATGTGGTAATTATATAATATCCAATAGTGAGTATATGACTATTGTAGGAGGGGGACAAAAAACGTCCCACCCCTTAAGGCAATAGGATTGTGTCACCATTTCTCAGTAGAATTTCTTCAAATTTTGTCGTTATATTGCTTTGAAGTAAATAAAATTTTCTGCCACAAAAAAAATATAGGTTGTCAGAATTTTAAGGATTTTAAATGGAAATTTATGTAAAAAGGAGTGAATTTTGAAAAAAAAATGAAACACACAATATTTTACAAAATATTGTCAATAAAAATGATACTGACATAGATTAATATTGCATTAATGTATATCAATTTCATAAATGCTGAAATTGTGTCAAATTAATTATCTATAAACGATTAAAAATTGATATTTTATAATAAAACTATATACACATAGCGATTGCATGTAAGAGTTAATTATCGTTCTTGAAAAACTTCATAGTAGTGAAATAGGTAGCCAGTTTCCTGAAGTACAGAAAAATGGACACATGTGACTCATTGATTAAAAAACAACTGAATTAATGCCTGGATTGCTCTCAGATATTTTAATATTGAAAGAAAACACTGTTCTGTCAATAATAAACATACAATATTCATCAGTTTAATATTAAACATTAAAATATGCGGAAATTGTGATACTGTCTCCCTACATTGGAGTTTCAACTAGGGATGTACTTCCTATTTCCGTTTAGCAATACACTCTTATGACCTTAACTACATCTAGTAATTATATAATATCCAATAGTGAGTATATGACTATTGTGGGAGGGGGCAAAAACCGCCCCACCCCTTAGATACATGTGGTAATTATATAATATCCAATAGTTAGTATAGTAATTATATAATATCCAATAGTGAGTATATAACTATTGTGGGAGGGGGCAAAAACCGCCCCACCCCTTAGATACATGTGGTAATTATATAATAGCCAATAGTGAGTATAGTAATTATATAATATCCAATAGCGAATATAGTAATTATATAATATCCAATAGTGAGAATAGTAATTATATAATATCAAATAGTGAATATAGTAATTATATAATATCAAATAGTGAATATAGTAATTATATAATATCCAATAGTGAATATAGTAATTATATAATATCAAATAGTGAGTATAGTAATTATATAATATCCAATAGTGAGAATAGTAATTATATAATATCCAATAGTGAGAATAGTAATTATATAATATCCAATAGTGAGTATCGTAATTATATAATATCCAATAGTGAGTATCGTAATTATATAATATCCAATAGTGAGTATATAACTATTGTGGGAGGGGGCAAAAACCGCCCCACCCCTTAGATACATGTGGTAATTATATAATACCCAATAGTGAGTATAGTAATTATATAATATCAAATAGTGAATATAGTAATTATATATATCCAATAGTGAGTATAGTAATGATATAATATCCAATAGTGAGTATAGTAATTATGTAATATCAAATAGTGAATATAGTAATTATATATATCCAATAGTGAGTATAGTAATGATATAATATCCAATAGTGAGTATAGTAATTATATGATATCAAATAGTGAATATAGTAATTATATAATATCAAATAGTGAGTATAGTAATTATATAATATCCAATAGCGAATATAGTAATTATATAATATCCAATAGTGAATATACTAATTATATAATATCCAATAGTGAGTATATAACTATTGTGGGAGGGGGCAAAAACCGCCCCACCCCTTAGATACATGTGGTAATTATATAATATCCAATAGTGAGTATCGTAATTATATAATATCCAATAGTGAGTATGTGACTATTGTGGGAGGGGGCAAAAACCGCCCCACCCCTTAGATACATTTGGTAATTATATAATATCCAATAGTGAGTATCGTAATTATATAATATCCAATAGTGAGTATGTGACTATTGTGGGAGGGGGCAAAAACCGCCCCACCCCTTAGATACATTTGGTAATTATATAATATCCAATAGTGAGTATAGTAATTATATAATATCCAATAGTGAGTATATGACTATTGTGGGAGTAAACATGAGTAACCTTACTAGTGTATTAAAATATTCATGTCATTTTTATGTGTGAATAAATGTTTTCATTTTTTATTTGTGAGCAGATATTTTCATCTCCTACTGCTCTAGAGATGCTCCTAAAGATAGGTCAGAGGTCATACATCCAGCTGATATTTACGCCGACCTTGAGAAAGAAGGATTTTCTTGGTAAGTTTGATTAAGTCTATGTAAATACAGATTTATTAGAAAAATAATAGGAGGTACAGATTTTTAGGACTAAGTAATATTATTACTCAAGTTTGCTCCATTTAGTAATCATATAAGTATCTAGGGTTGTCAGTCACAAGGTCCGATAGGTTGAAGAACTGACGTATAATTGTCCTTTACCTAACAGTTATTTCTTGGAGGGTGGAGCTCTGTACTCCCGTGAAGAGTTGGGGTTGAAGAACTGACGGATAATTGTCCTTTACCTTACAGTTATTTCCTGGAGGGTGGAGCTCTGTACCCCTGTGAAGAGATGGAGTTGGGGTTGAAGAACTGACGTATAATTGTCCTTTACCTAACAGTCATTTCCTGGAGGGTGGAGCTCTGTACTCCCGTGAAGAGGTGGGGGTGAAGAACTGACGGATAATTGTCCTTTACCTAACAGTTATTTCCTGGAGGGGGGAGCTCTGTACCCCTGTGAAGAGATGGAGTTGGGGTTGAAGAACTGACGTATAATTGTCCTTTTACTTACAGTTATTTCTTGGAGGGTGGAGCTCTGTACTCCTGTGAAGAGTTGGGGTTGAAGAACTGACGTATAATTGTCCTTTACCTAACAGTTATTTCTTGGAGGGTGGAGCTCTGTACTCCTGTGAAAAGTTGGGGTTGAAGAACTGACGTATAATTGTCCTTTACCTTACAGTTATTTCCTGGAGGGTGGAGCTCTGTACTCCTGTGAAGAGTTGGGGTTGGGGTTGAAGAACTGACGTATAATTGTCCTTTACCTTACAGTTATTTCCCGGAGGGTGGAGCTCTGTACTCCCGTGAAGAGATGGCCCAGCAGCTTGTCCATTCGTCAGTGTTCCTCGTACTGATCTCCAATAGTTACGCTGCTGACGAGGTCTGCTGTGACATGTATAAGTACGCTGTCAGCACCATGAAACGCCCAACTATCTGTGTGGCTGTGGGCGAGAACTTTGACTGGAAAAAGAGTCCCTCACTCGGGGTTATCATGTCGGATGTGGTAAGTGTATAGGACTGATACAAATAGTGGAATAATCATATTCAGAACAGAACATGGAGTTTCATAGAGTTCATTGTTCCCACTGTACATATCTGGGAAACACAAGTTTACCGAGTTAATACCTGGGTAAGATAGATGTTATTAACTTCTATTACTTAAGTGCATGATGTTGGAATCACATTGTTTGTCTGTCCATTCATCTGTCCTTAGATGGAATCTTGTCAGGAGAACTCTTTCTACAGATTTCATCTAAATATGTGAATCTCCACAGACATAGTCACTTCAGTGTGGCGAAGTTGTACACCTGTGTTTATTGTATTGCTCCAGCTATGATTTTATGGGTGTTATGCCCCTTTTATGAAATACCTAGTCTGTTCATTCTGATTTACATAAACATTATATCAAGAATAATGGTTATGAAACTTTCAAATAGAGTTATATGAATGAAACATGCTACACCTTGTTATAACTGAATATTTTGGCATTTTTATGAAACACCGGCCGAGGCATTAGCAAATGATGACTGTTCCAGGTTTTCATGTGTAGAGGTGTTTTTTAATTATTGATGTGTACAGGTACTTTTGTTAATGTTTACAGGTATTTGTGAACATGATCAACTCTAAGAAGCCAGTGTATGAAACCAAACTAAAGGAGTTGCTCTCCACACTACAGAAACACGAACAAATCTCTCAGGTGAAACCGGAGACTTTCGGTTCCTGCTTCATCAGCTACTCCTGGGCTAACTCTAGGTTAGCTGTAGAGTGTGGTACCAAGTAAGTATGTCTGTTATGGTTTGGTTAAGTCTGTTGTTAATTGGGGACTAAGATTGCAATTGTGTAAAAGTGGACAGGGTCAGTCTTTAATTGGCATATAGGATGAAGTAGGTGTATGTGTAAAGGTCAGTCAAGATTAGTTCTGGGTTAGAGTACCTTAAGTGAGTATCGGTGTATGTGAGTTTTCGTGAGTAATAATTAATGTATGTAATTAAGTGTATTATCTGTTGTAATGCTCTTCTTGCTCTGTAGGGAGCTACCAGGAGCCCTGGGGTTTGGGGATCCACGCCACATTAAAGATTATTTGGAGGAGAAAGGCATAAAATGTTGGTTAGATATTGATCAAGTCAGTGTGGTAAGTATACAAGCAAAATAGAAACTCTGCAAACTTGTTGAGGCTCTGATAGAGTGGTAACTATGTCTATTGATAATAAATGATGTCATGCATTCAATTAAGTTAATTAGAGCCCTGCATCTGCGGGTGCCCTATAGTAATCAGGTTGTCTGTCTGTGTGTCTGTGTGTCTGTGTGTCTGTCTGTCTGTGTGTCTGTCTGTCTGTGTGTCTGTCTGTGTGTCTGTCTGTCTGTGTATCTGTCTGTGTGTCTGTCTGTGTGTCTGTGTGTCTGTCTGTCTGTCTGATTTTTGGCTTTTGCATTATGTTGATGGAAGTAATTAGGGTATCTTTTTAAAACCTAATAAGATTGTTTTGCTTCCTCAATTTTCAAGCGAATTGGATTCAAAATGCTAATCAGCCATCTTGGATTTTGACATCACAGTTTATTAGTGGCAAATACATCTCTCAGCAACTTACCATTTTGTTTTGACATTATAAAGCGAAGTTGGTCACAATCAAACAAGGTGTCAACTAATCAAACCTCAAGGTCATCGGATCAAAGGTCAAGGTCAAATTTCATATTTCTTAACTGCTAAACATTGTGTTATGACATAATGAAAAAAAGCTGGTCAGATTCAAACAAGATGTCAACTGACTAATCCTCAAGGTCAACAGATCAAAGGTCAAGGTCAATTTTTACATCTCTCAACTGCTGAACTTTTGTTATGACATTATGACCTTGAGTTTTGGTCAGAATCAAACAAGGTGTCACTGACTAAACCTCAAGGTCATTAGATCAAAGGTCAAGGTCAAATTTTACATCTCTTTATTGTTAAACATTTTGTTATGACATTGTGAAGCAGTGTTGGTCAGAATCAAGCCGATGTCAACTGACCAAACCTCTAGGTCATCATATCAAAAGTCAAGGTCAAATTTTACATCTCTGAACTTCTTAACATTTTGTTATGACATAATGACCTTGAGTTTTGGTCAGAATCAAACAAGGTGTCAACAAACAAACCTCAAGGTCATCAGATGAAAGGTCAAGGTCAAATTTTACATCTCTTAACGGCTTAACATTATATGAAATTTTGAAGCGAAGTTGGCTTGAATCAATCAAGGTTTCAAGTGACCAAACAATCGGATCAAATGTCAAGGTCAAATTCAATTTACTTGGTTTTTTAGCTCGCCTTTCAGAAGAATGACCATCAAATAGTATCAACATTGTCCAAATATCAATATTTTGGGTCAAGTCATCATGAGAGGTTGGCAAAAGTTGTGAAGTAGTATATAAGTAACAATTTAATGTCAATGTAACACACACTTCAATCTCACTATAAGGATTAGATACATAGCGGGACCCTTCCTGACGTGTCACTGTTCTTACTACTTCTGGAAACAAAACCATTATATTTTTATCCTGTGGTAGTATACTGCTGTACTTAGTCGTGCCTCTTTGTAGGATTGGCATCTCATTGTGATATTATTGCACTATACAGTACTCAATTATTTCTATTTTGTAGAGTAACTTGTGTTAACTTTTTGTGATATCGTTGTACACTACAGAACTCATTTGTTCATGCCAATTTGTGCTGTTGGCGACTTGTGTTTAACTTCACCCTTTACCCCACAGAATGACCAGTTGTTGAACAGGATAGCACAGGGTCTGTCCGAGGCGCGGGTAGTGGTGGTCTGTGTGTCCGACCAGTACGCCCAGTCTAAGATGTGCTGTAAGGAGATGAGGTTCGCCATACAGCTCGAGCTACCAGTGGTGGTGGCCATTGTTGGATCTGGGAAGCAGTGGAAACGGTCAGAGGTAAATCCTACTATGGCTACTTATACTGTGATCACCTTCATTATGGTGACCAAGGAAATAACCATCAAAGTCACTTGGCCCTGGTATCTCCACGGTTGGTTAGAGCTAGAGGGAAAATTTAAAAATTTGAATACAACAAAATCAAGAACAGCCCTACCATTTCACTGCTATGGGTTTCTTTAGACCGATCAGATTGATGTGTTTTGAGGATTGTTTTTGCTTTTCATGACCCTGTTTTTTTGCGGCAACAATTTGAAATTTTCATCTTTGAGCAACAGACAACAGAGATTACTCTATTCAGTTAATCTGAGCAATAAAGTGGAATGATTGCATTAGAGTTAAGTTTAAGAGGATCAGGAACACATGAGAATAGAAGTCCAAGGCCTGTATTCATGAACCCATTCTTGTGCTCAAGCATGGATTTTGTGCTTAAGCCAAATTTCTTGTTTTCATTATAAGTTACCAGTAATGAAAAAATTCTTATTTTGTCAATGATTTGTGAAAACATTGAAGAGGCTTAAAGCCAAATACTGTTTTCAATGTTTACACATGACTTTTTGAGCATTTGACATGATTTAATCGAGTGACAAGAAAGTGGGTTTGAGGACAGAATCCATGCTTGAGCATGAGAACAGTTTCATGAATACTTGCCCAGGAGTGAAGTTACCACTTCACCTAAGGTCATTAGAGATAAGGTCACTCTAACTACACAACCATGAGAACTTGTAGAACATCTGGACTTCATCAGGTCTAAATTGACCAGGACTGAAGCCACCATTGCTTGATCTGTTTAGGAATTAGCCAGGAATCAGATATGCTAATTCATTTTTCATACATGTATTTCTATGCATTAGCTACTACAGATGTATGTCTGGTAAAGGATTCTGTACCTACTCGTTTAACCCTTGTTCAATCATGTAGTGATATTGTTATATAAACTTGATTTATTTAATGTTACAGGTGGGCTTTAACTCCATGTCGTACCCTGCTGTGGACTTCCAGCGACCTAACCCCAATGCCTGTGAGGACCTGCTCACACTAATAAAGTCAGAGATATTACCTGAACGTGTGGAGGTGACAGACAGGCGGAAGAGAAAAGACCAGTCACACAGTGACAGGGCTAACAACTCATTTAAGGTGACTTACATTCTCTTCCTGGTATAGAATCCACATTTCACTCAATTTCTGAGAATCTTATAATAGGAGGTTGCTGAATTTTCTCTCACATCCAAACTATACTGTATATGATTAAACCCTAGCTGACACTTCTACTCTATTTCTTAATTATATTCTAAAAATTCCCCTCCTCAAACCCAATTGATAGTATGAAAGGCTTTCAAGTGTTCTAAATACATTATCTTGACCTTTATTCTTTGTCACAGGTGTCAAATGTGTGAGGCACATTTTCATTCTCTTTCACCATGAATCATTTGCCAAATTTGTGTATGCACATTCCTCTAGGGATGGCAGACTGGTGCATACCAAAATTATGTAAATTGCTTTTGTTTTCAGAATCATTGCCCTCTATTCATTTTATCTAAAAAAGTGTGTCATATGATAATATAACAGGTGTGTGATACAAGCCTAATAGGTTTCTTCAGTCTGTGTGGTCAATACCTGAAACTTAAATTGTTTTTGTTAATTTTAAATTTTAATAGGAAATGTATGAGCTTGCCCAGAGGAAGTTTTTGAGACAGATATCAAATTACGCTGTCACTCACGACATGGCTAGCTACCCCCGCCTGTTTGTGGTGGACATAGTCGACAATAAATCACCAGGTAGGAATAGTACAGCGTTATTTTCATGTTAATTTACTAATTTTTAATCTTGTTTTATTTTTCTTTTAATTGAAAGGAACACTGGAAACTTCTTGAAGTTCTCTTTTAATTATTATTTCACATACAAACATCTACCTATAAAGTGACATTGACAATTACCAAGGGCTGTCCTAACATAAAGCAGTTAACTCAAAATGATGGTTAGAGGACCGACACAAGTTGCTTGTCAGGAGAATGTCAATTCCGCACCATTAGTGTACTGGGATTCTAACTCTGTAGACCTCACAGCCACCCAGGGCTAGTATTTTGTTTCATTCTGTTACAACTACCTTGTATTATTATATAACTTCTGGTAAATGGACTTTCAAAAATATTTTTTGGTTTCATTTTGTAGAAGTAAAGAACACCTTACCAAATGAAGATGAGTTTAAGTCCAGAAAATACTGCGTTCACACCTTGTGTGAATGTGAACAGGTAATTTAAGGCTACATTGCGTGAGAACATTATATGAAAGTGCAAAGAAGTTATTATCATAATTATCACGCAACAGAGTTGGCCAAATTACTTTGAAGAATTTCACAACTCGGAGACCAGAATAAATTGATGACATTTAATAAAATAACAAATAACAAAATTAATTCAAGTATTACAAGTATCACTAATCTTTCCCTATCTGACTAAGGAACTCCTTTGATATCCTGCCTAATAGGTAGATATCACATAATATTATAATCTCGTAATCTGATTGGTTGAGAAAGATGTGAACATTTTCAATGTAACTTGCTCGTTTTACAAAGATAAAGAAGGCAGGGTGACATTCCAAAAAATATCACATGTGCCAAACATATGCGTGCACGGTTCGTCCCAATGCCAGGGTGTTATTCCAAAAATTGTTACATGCGCCAAATGTATGCGTGCACGGTTCGTCCCAGTGTTAGGGGGTTATCAAATCACATTCCTGGTTGGTTCATTCGACAACTGTTTTCACCCCTCGGAAAGCATTGTTGACCTCGGCTTCGCCTCGGTCAACAATGCTTCCTTGTGGTGAAAATATGCAATATCCCCCTCTCATGAATGTGATATTTATATAATATACTGTCACCACAAGAGACGAGAGAAGACAGGATGTCTCGTTAACAGTAGGGCTACTGTATGACTTCATTAAAAACAAATCAGCTCATCAGTCCGTCAGTGAAGACTGAAATTACAGTAATCGACTGCTATTGTTACAAATGTACAAAACATTATATTCTGCTCAACAGAAGTTGTATTATGCATACCGAGGAGTAATAATGAAAATTACATAATAACATAATAAACTGATGATATCAACACAAGTCAAACCCATCTTACACACCATTATTGTAGTACTTACTTATTGACCAATATGTGACTAGAAATATGGAATGACTAGCTTAATGACTTAGTGTATCAAGCGATACGATGAATAGGACTAGATATATAAAAATGACCAACTGTCGTCCTCTGTATCACAATGTAACTAATTTGACCCAGTAATGGCGCCAAATCTAAATTAAGACGTAATATCAGAACATGCTTTCTGCACAAGGCATTACAACTTATGGACTGAATGCAAATTACTTTCATATGACATCTATGACAACTTATATAGATACATGTTATTAATCATTATTATAATGCATTATGTAATAAACATACATTTTGGCTTGGCCAGGGTAACATCTTTAGCGAGTAGGCTAAACAGCACATGTGTTGCATCAATCTTTGGATAATTTCTGAATATGCCTTACATATAAAAGAGTTCCAAACAAACATTGGCAGGAACGATAACTCTTGAAGACATTTCAATATACGTAATCAAAGTACTGAGAGTACTAGACTCTGGTTACAGAACACATATTACTACATGTAGATAATCCTATCCAGCTTACAACATATCAGAATAGACGGATAACCATAACAGGCTGCATAATAACCAAATAAATGATACTCAAAAATCATACATAATTGCATACACATACTGAGATACGTTTATAATTAACCACCCTAGATTGTTCACACATCACTGTAGATATACAGTATATTAGTGATATAGTACAACCAGTATGTCCACTGCACAATGAGTACACGTCCCTCCGCAAACAACTGTCTCTCCGGCGCGCAGAATTACATAATCTTTTCACCATGAACTGCTGAAGTCGCCTCGGTGTAAACGACTGAAGTCGCCTCAGTGTAAGAGACTGGACATCATAAGGCCACGACAAACTGTAGGGGAACATCAGACATCCACCACCACTGAGAGCTTCATACCAGTCGTAGTACCAGTAACATAGTAGAACCAATAACATAGTTGTACCAATAACATAGTTGTACCAATAACATAGTTGTACCAATAACATAGTTGTACCAATAATATAATTGTACCAATAATATAGTTGTACCAATAATATAGTTGTTCCAATAACATAGTTGTACCAATATAGTTGTACCAATAATATAGTTGTACCAATAATATAGTTGTACCAATAACATAGTTGTACCAATAATATAGTTGTACCAATAATATAGTTGTACCAATAATATAGTTGTTCCAATAACATAGTTGTACCAATATAGTTGTACCAATAATATAGTTGTACCAATAATATAGTTGTACCAATAACATAGTTGTACCAATAATATAGTTGTACCAATAACATAGTTGTACCAATATAGTTGTACCAATAATATAGTTGTACCAATAATATAGTTGTACCAATAACATAGTTGTACCAATAATATAGTTGTACCAATAATATAGTTGTTCCAATAACATAGTTGTACCAATATAGTTGTACCAATAATATAGTTGTACCAATAATATAGTTGTACCAATAATATAGTTGTACCAATAATATAGTTGTACCAATAATATAGTTGTACCAATAATATAGTTGTACCAATAATATAGTTGTACCAATAACATAGTTGTACCAATATAGTTGTACCAATAATATAGTTGTACCAATAATATAGTTGTACCAATAACATAGTTGTACCAATAATATAGTTGTACCAATAATATAGTTGTACCAATAATATAGTTGTACCAATAACATAGTTGTACCAATATAGTTGTACCAATAATATAGTTTTACCAATAATATAGTTGTACCAATAATATAGTTGTACCAATAACATAGTTGTACCAATATAGTTGTACCAATAATATAGTTGTACCAATAATATAGTTGTACCAATAACATAGTTGTACCAATAATATAGTTGTACCAATAACATAGTTGTACCAATAACATAGTTGTACCAATAATATAGTTGTACCAATAATATAGTTGTTCCAATAACATAGTTGTACCAATATAGTTGTACCAATAATATAGTTGTACCAATAATATAGTTGTACCAATAACATAGTTGTACCAATAATATAGTTGTACCAATAATATAGTTGTACCAATAATATAGTTGTACCAATAACATAGTTGTACCAATAATATAGTTGTACCAATAATATAGTTGTTCCAATAACATAGTTGTACCAATATAGTTGTACCAATAATATAGTTGTACCAATAATATAGTTGTACCAATAACATAGTTGTACCAATAATATAGTTGTACCAATAATATAGTTGTTCCAATAACATAGTTGTACCAATATAATTGTACCAATAATATAGTTGTACCAATAATATAGTTGTACCAATAACATAGTTGTACCAATAATATAGTTGTACCAATAATATAGTTGTACCAATAATATAGTTGTACCAATAATATAGTTGTACCAATAATATAGTTGTACCAATAATATAGTTGTACCAATAATATAGTTGTACCAATAATATAGTTGTACCAATAATATAGTTGTACCAATAATATAGTTGTACCAATAATATAGTTGTACCAATAATATAGTTGTACCAATAATATAGTTGTACCAATAATATAGTTGTACCAATAATATAGTTGTACCAATAATATAGTTGTACCAATAATATAGTTGTACCAATAACATAGTTGTACCAATATAGTTGTACCAATAATATAGTTGTACCAATAATATAGTTGTACCAATAACATAGTTGTACCAATAACATAGTTGTACCAATAATATAGTTGTACCAATAATATAGTTGTTCCAATAACATAGTTGTACCAATATAGTTGTACCAATAATATAGTTGTACCAATAATATAGTTGTACCAATAACATAGTTGTACCAATAATATAGTTGTACCAATAATATAGTTGTACCAATAATATAGTTGTACCAATAACATAGTTGTACCAATAATATAGTTGTACCAATAATATAGTTGTTCCAATAACATAGTTGTACTAATATAGTTGTACCAATAATATAGTTGTACCAATAATATAGTTGTACCAATAACATAGTTGTACCAATATAGTTGTACCAATAATATAGTTGTACCAATAATATAGTTGTACCAATAACATAGTTGTACCAATAATATAGTTGTACCAATAATATAGTTGTACCAATAATATAGTTGTACCAATAACATAGTTGTACCAATAACATAGTTGTACCAATAATATAGTTGTACCAATAATATAGTTGTTCCAATAACATAGTTGTACCAATATAGTTGTACCAATAATATAGTTGCTCCAATAATATAGTTGTACCAATAACATAGTTGTACCAAAAACATAGTTGTACCAATAATATAGTTGTACCAATAATATAGTTGTTCCAATAACATAGTTGTACCAATATAGTTGTACCAATAATATAGTTGTACCAATAATATAGTTGTACCAATAACATAGTTGTACCAATAATATAGTTGTACCAATAATATAGTTGTTCCAATAACATAGTTGTACCAATATAGTTGTACCAATAATATAGTTGCTCCAATAATATAGTTGTACCAATAACATAGTTGTACCAAAAACATAGTTGTACCAATAATATAGTTGTACCAATAATATAGTTGTTCCAATAACATAGTTGAACCAATATCGTTGTACCAATAACATAGTTGTACCAATAATATAGATGTTCCAATAACATAGTTGTACCAATATAGTTGTACCAATAACATAGTTATACCAATAATATAGTTGTACCAATAAAATAGTTTTGCCAATAACATAGTTGTGCCAATTATATAGTTGTACCAATTACATAGTTTTACCAATAACATAGTTGTACCAATAATATAGTTGTACCAATAACATAGTTTTACCAATAACATAGTTGTGCCAATTATATAGTTGTACCAATTACATAGTTTTACCAATAACATAGTTGTACCAATAATATAGTTGTTCCAATAACATAGTTGTACCAATATAGTTGTACCAATAACATAGTTGTACCAATAATATAGTTGTACCAATAATATAGTTGCACCAATAATATAGTTGTACCAATAACATAGTTTTACCAATAACATAGTTGTACCAATAATATAGTTGTACCAATAACAAAGTTGTACCAATAATATAATAGTACCAATAACATAGTTGTACCAATAACATAGTTTTACCAATAACATAGTTGTACCAATAATATAGTTGTACCAATAATATAGTTGTACCATTAACATAGTTGTACCAATAATATAGTTATACCAATAGTATAGTGGTACCAATAACATAGTTGTACCAATAACATAGTTGTACCAATAATATAGTCGTACCAATATCATTGTACCAATAATATAGTTGTACCAATAATATAGTTTTACCAATAACATAGTTGTACCAATAATATAGTTGTACCAATAATATAGTTGTACCAATAACATAGTTGTACCAATATAGTTGTACCAATAATATAGTTGTACCAATAATATAGTTGTACCAATAATATAGTTGTACCAATAACATAGTTGTACCAATATAGTTGTACCAATAATATAGTTGTACCAATAATATAGTTGTACCAATAATATAGTTGTACCAATAACATAGTTGTACCAATATAGTTGTACCAATAATATAGTTGTACCAATAATATAGTTGTACCAATAATATAGTTGTACCAATAACATAGTTGTACCAATATAGTTGTACCAATAATATAGTTTTACCAATAATATAGTTGTACCAATAATATAGTTGTTCCAATAACATAGTTGTACCAATATAGTTGTACCAATAATATAGTTTTACCAATAATATAGTTGTACCAATAATATAGTTGTACCAATAACATAGTTGTACCAATATAGTTGTACCAATAATATAGTTTTACCAATAATATAGTTGTACCAATAATATAGTTGTTCCAATAACATAGTTGTACCAATATAGTTGTACCAATAATATAGTTTTACCAATAATATAGTTGTACCAATAATATAGTTGTACCAATAACATAGTTGTACCAATATAGTTGTACCAATAATATAGTTGTACCAATAACATAGTTATACCAATAATATAGTCGAACCAATATCATTGTACCAATAATATCGTTGTACCAATAACATAGTTGTACCAATAATATAGTTGTACCAATATCGTTTACATGTCTCAGGTCACGTGACTAGCCGCACGGCTGCCTACCGCATGGTCACTAATACACCCCCACCTTGGACTGTAATTAATAAAATACCAACTTTTACTGCCCTGAACTCGTCTATTAGGCTTGACATGGATATAATTGAACAATATTTACATGTATATTCCACTGTCAACGAGGCAAACCACGTAAAATTTAGCTTTAGGATCACCTCGGCTAAACTATACTCAGACAATAGAGTGCCGCTGAGAGCGACTGCTAACCTGACTTATAGCTGAACAAATACTCTCTGACAGCTTAATTCATAATTATTAACATAAACCATATACATTTATATCCATGTGTAACATAACACTCGCCCCCGGGGAGTCTTCACTCCTTGCGGGAAAAATAGTGACTGCCACAAATTCACTAGCACATATTCTCACTACTAATTGTAAGCTACGCTCTGATTGGTCAGTGAAACGAAGATTAAACAAAGACTTTCCAATGATCTTCCTTCTGTACATAACAACCTGTAATCGGCACCCCTCGGTACTTATATATACAATAACCTGTGATCGATAACCCTCGGTACTATCGTATATGTACACATGACTATGTGACAATAATGAAATATTTTTATAAATACAAGCCATTTGGATTGAAATGTTTCGCCTGTGCTCCACTTTGACCATTAATGCACATATCAGAGAAACTAACTTAAACGCAAAAACTTAATGTTGATTGAGATGCTGACAAAGTCAATGGACCATTAAAGGTACGCTGCATCCAGCATTTGATGCATGTGTTGAGATGTACTAACGACAATGCATCTATGGTCCAAGTTTGGTTGTTCTAGCACGTATACTTTTAGTGAAACTAACTTAAACGCGAAAACTTATTGTTGACGCCATCTCGGGAAAAACAACACCTAAGTCTCGCTTCAGTTACTTCGTGGCAGCGAGACAATAAATCATTCTTCACTGTCTACTAAGGTACTGAATGCCTTCTCAATGATATAAGTTGTTCTTTACGTGGCAGGATTCAATTGTACATATGATTAAGGTCGCCTTCTAGCTTCGAGCTAGATGGAATTTCCCTTTAGCTCAATGGTAGAGCGTCCGACTATAAACCTGGAGATCAAGGGTTCGATCCCCGATGGAAGCACACTGTTCTCTTTCCAGTTACATTTAATATGAATATGTTTGCACTCATTTATAAGTTATTATAGCAAACAAACATGTGGAATCTTGGAATATACATTGTTTCATATACTCTATTGATATATGTATTCTAAAAACTGTTTGTATGCTAAGTCAGAGATGATATTAAGCACTGTAAATATATGTGTACTTGATTTGGTGTAGGGCTGGCACTCAGTCTGCAAACCTCTGGAATTGGAGGAGGACTTTACTGGCGAAGATCTGGAGGAATATGCTTCCTACCTGGCTCATGTTACCTTGGTGATGAAACACAGTCCAGACATTGTCCTTAATCTCTTCTCAGATGTGGATGGTCAACAATATCTCAATTATATACAGGAGGTGAGTATGTTGTAGTGAGAGGATACAGAAGGTGTGTATGTTATAGTGGGGAGATACAGAAGGTGTGTATGTTATAGTGGGGAATACAGCAGGTGTGTATGTTATAGTGGGGAGATACAGCAGGGGTGTATGTTATTGTGGGGAGATACAGAAGGTGTGTATGTAATAGTGGGGAGATACAGAAGGTGTGTATGTTATAGTGGGGAGATACAGGAGGTGTGTATGTTATAGTGAGGAGATACAGAAGGTGTGTATGTTATAGTGGGGAGACACAGAAGGTGTGTATGTTATAGTGGGGAGATACAGAAGGTGTGTATGTTATAGTGGGGAGATACAGAAGGCTAGTATGTTATAGTGGGGATCGAGATACAGAAGGTGTGTATGTTATAGCAGGGAGATACAGAAGGTGTGTATATTATAGTGGTGAGATACAGAAGGTGTGTATGTTATAGTGGTGAGATACAGAAGGTGTGTATGTTATAGTGGGGAGACACAGAAGGTGTGTATGTT